AAAAAAATTTCCGTGTGCCAACCCAAAGATCAATCGTAAACGGTCCAGCAGGCAACGTAGTAACGAAAACGAGGTCAGAAATTCAACCTTTCTCTCACAAACGCACATTCACTCAGTCAGTCAGTTATGTGCCATGCGTGATACAAGCTTAGGCGATCTTGTATTTTTCGATACATGGCTGACAAGGTAGATATTTTTTTTCTCGCAATAGGTTGCCATTTATTTCTGCGGTAGACCATCGGTCATCCAAGGCTATTATAGAAACCGGTCTGTCCTGCTATTTACCTATAGCTGGCGGGGAGAAGAAAAGGATTCATACCTTTCCCAAGGGTATTAGCACGTAAGTGAATGTATTAGCACATAAGTGAATGTAATTTAATTCGAACTCGGCTCTCCGATTCCTAAATCCGAGCCGCTATCCACCGTGCCTCCTCACATCATCTTACCAATCTCAAAATAGTTCTAATCCCGGTAAGCGAAAGAAGCAACAGTCTTTATTCACTGAACGATTTTTTTCCTGATTGGCGACGCCTTTCAGGAAGGAAAGAATATTAACATAGTTTCTCTGATACTTAAAGTAACAGCTTTTTGCTAACTATTTTCTCCGTCCTGGGTATGACAATAAACTACATCTGCGTCCAGGGTAAGACGATAAACTACGTCCAACAGCAAGGCCTCTGATCAGGAGGTTTTGAGGAGCATGGAACCACCTTTTAAATGCTGATTTTCCCAGATCCACCCTAATCCAGGATGGTAGCACCTGTTAGGGTCCCAGCTATGGGAAAATAGTTAACTCCGAAACTGAGGTAAAGAGCATTATAAAAGTGTAAAAATATGTGTAAATACCAGAAATATTTTGTAAAAATTTTTTACTAGCAATATATATTTTTTTTTAAATATTACTGGCTATACATTTTTGAGAAAAAAAATATTACCAGAAAAAGATTTTTGACAAAACAAAATAATACCAGGAAAAAATGTCGGCATTAAATAAGCCATTGCGGTTGATATGCCGTAAACTAAACCAAACAAACCAAAGTATCGCTATGAATCTATTTAAAAAAATTTGTTCGCATTAAATGACCCACTGAGGCTGATATGTGACGAAAGACATGACTTAACTCAGAATTCGAAACGAGCGCGAACGTGTCTTGCCTGCAATGTGATAACAAATAGAAAAATGGCCGCTATTGAAGACAATTTATGTGCGCCTATCTCGTCCAAAACGAGACGATATTTGCACACATGCAAATTTTGGCCGTATTGGAATAGCATAAAATGCGGGGTGTCAGCATCACGAGAGAATCAAAGTCATTCAGCGGACTGCGTGCAATAGAGCTGGACGTACGGATTGACAGACGGACAAAGAGGAAGTCGAAGTAGGCCCAGCTGACTAGGTGTCTGTTTCACAACTGCCCAATGTAATGGCTGAGAAAGGGAACCACGCAATCCATTTCCTTGAGGCGACCGAAGAAGAAGAAAAAATAGTTGGCCTGCCGGCGAGCACCGCACTGCACTTTTTGCCCCCCCCCCGCTCATCACCATTTTTCTCTACATGATATGCCATCAAACAAAACAACCAAACAACTATTTTCTTTAATTTTCCTTCGGCAGACCACGCACATAACACGAACTCTTTCGTTACACTAACTTGAGCCAAAATAAATCAATTATTGTATATTCAATGATTCATTAGGATTAAGCTCATCATATTTGTTGTTTTTATCATCCATTTTCGCTGATAATGCCGTCTGATCTTTCGACATATTTACCAGCGCTATAGTCGAGTGAAAAAAAATAAATAAAGATAAAATAAAGCCTTTCTAAATTTGTCACGATCTCTGCAAGTTGTGGGTTCAATCATTTGCCAGTTTTGGCAACCACCGGCCCAATAAAGGACAAATCAGCAAAAGATGGAAAATTAGAAATTCCTCTTTTAGAAATTCGTATGGAGAATGTTAATTATTACGAAAGGTCGGAAATGAGACCAATCCCTCCACTCGACCCCAACAGTAAACGAAAGCAAATATTGTGTTTAAAAATTTGTAAAATCTTTTGGTTAGGAATGCAAAAGGCAGAAGAATATAGCAACCGAAACTTTGCATTGAAAACATAGAAAAAGATGATCGTCCGAAAAACTCACTGAAAAATATTATTTTCTTTTTTAAAAAAATCACACAGAAATTAAGTTGAAAAACAACACAAATATACAATTATATCAATAGAAATGCACAAAAAGCTGTTTTTATTTCCCGTTTGTTTCATGGAAGAAGGGATGGGGTATATCATACTGAAAAAAAAAAACTTTTATTTTATTATCTTTATTTTGGATAGAAAAAGACAAAAAATAAAAAGGTCCAAAATATTTGTTTACTTCTTAAGACACAAGACTTATTTTTTTTCTTCGTCGCAATCGTTTCTTCGATAAGGATTTTATCGTGCGTTACATGAACAGAAATATTTCCTCTGGGACTGGTAGAATTGTCTTTGAGAGAAAACTGCAGGAACTTGATGGATTTTTGTGATTTTCTTTCCGACGTTTTCTTATTCAGTGGACCAAAGCGTATGTGTGTCGGGGGAGGACATGTGCAGATGCATTTGTGTGTGTGCATCCATGTTAGTGTATGCAGATTGCATAAATTACTTAAGGAAATATTTGTATATCAGCAAAAAAAAAAAAAAAAAAAATGAAACAATTTTAAATTATCTTATTATTCGTTTCCCGATAATTACAGATTAACTTAAGAAATAAAAAAAAAAGAAAAGAACGAAAAGTGGATAAGGCAAGGATTTGTTGTTGTTTTTTTCTTTCTTTTTTTGTGTTTCATTTGTGATACTTGACTCTGGACTGTGTAGAGGACGGTATCATGAATATAAGTCAGTAGATCAAATGTTGCAAACGGTTGGTTACGGTTTACTTGAGATTGGCTTCAAGGAACTTTCGCATAATTCTCTGTGGATCAACTTGAGCTGGAAAAATTTCTCGCAATTTGGTTTGCGTTGTCACAGTTGTCATAATTGTCTCAGTTTGTTTTTGAATTCGTCAGGTTTTCTTTTTTTCAGTTCCCATTTTTTTATTTGGTTTATTGGGGGCGGATCAATTCTGATGTTTTATAGATTTGCTTTTAACTGTTTTTTTTTTATTGTATTTAATTAGATTTATATTTTTTTCACTTACTGCTTAATTTGGTTTTGTTACAAACTTTTTGGTTCGATTGGCGGAACGTTAGGATCTGCATGACTTTCATTCTTCACTCGAACTTCATAAAGTTCTAATTTATTTTTATTTATTTTTTTTACTATTTAAAGCAAGAAGTCGTTACTAAATACTTTGGTAAAGAACGGAATTATATTAAATACATTTTCACAATTAAATTATTAACTTTTTCACTATTAGTAAGAAAATTTGAAAAAAAAAGAAAGACTTCCGATATGCAAATAGAAATCAACTGCGCGAAAGTTTCTAATCAACAACTGAATTAATTCCAATCGCATTACAGTTGCCATTTTGTATATCAGGCAAAGAACGGAGTAATTATTTATATTCATAGAAATTTGTGGGGGGGGTTAAAAAAATAATATTATTTTTATATTCATTCCAAAATCTAGAAGTTGAAGAGAAAATATTTTCCGATATAGAAACAATAAATAAACGGCAGTCCACGGAAAAAAAGTAACACCAACACATATGTCTTTTGATAAGACAAAGGTGGTTTGTCTTTGTAAGTATCCTGCGCGACGTCCATCCTAATCTCCCTTCGAGTAAACTTTTGTAAAGATATCCCTGTTATTTCTCTGTTGTTCCGGTGAAAATTTCGAAACAGTTCTGTGGTGATGGGGAGCATTTGTGCTAAATAATTGCGACAATTGTTATGATTTGAAAATGCACTAACTCCAAATTCAGATAAAATACACGGACATTGAGATAATGACATTGCTCACTTCTTGTCAATACCTTCTCAAAATACACTTTTCCGATGCACTGGGGGTGTCGTCAATGATGTTTTATAAGCGGGATCGTCAGGGATTTCAGGATCAGACTCCCTTCCCCGGTTAAAACAATGGTTACATCGAATGCATATAAGAATCAAGATCTGTATATGCAGAAATAGTTTTGCATTTCACAATTTAGCCAGGTCAGATCAGAGGCTGTATTTTGCCTGGGTTTTTTGTTTTTTTTGTTTTTTTAAAACTTTTATGAAAACTTCAATCGGTAGAATCAAATTCAGTCCACTAAGACAAATCATACTTGTACGGAATAACATTCCAATAATTGGTTAAGCGTAAAGCCACGTGTGATCTGCTCCACGACTCTACTATCAAATTTTAATTTGAAGATGGGTTAAAAGTCTGCTGGAAATGAGAACGTGGATTATGGTAGCAAATAGTACATGAAGAGTTGCCTCCCTTGAGCTCAGCATATTTTAAACCTTTTAAGATTTAGTTTTGTTCATATACTTTCTTTTAAAAATTGGATTTTTCGCCAGGGAATTTAGCTGAAATGGTTGAACACAACATACATTTTAACCGTGGACAAGAATTTCATACACTGCATACAGATTTTGAGGGCACTTTAAGTTGCGAAAAATCCAATGTTCTCATAAACGATTCGTTTATCGATTTATTTTGTAATAATTGTTTTACTTTTTGGTATTTTACTTTTTCTGTTTTTTTTCTTCTTCTTTTTTTTTTTTTTTTTTGTTTTGTCTTGTTACTGTTACAGACAATTTAAGATTGAAAAATTAATTTTCAGACGAGATTTAAGGTTCAATCACCAGTTCCAGGATTTCTCCACAAATATTTTCCATTATTTGAGCTTTATTTCTTAATTCGTCAGTTTCTTTTCCCACCTTTAAAATTATGCAAATTTGGTATTTCCTCTTTCAAAAATCATTTTTTTTTACAATTTTTCTCATTTTTGAATTGTTTGCAAATTAAAAAAAATATAAATATAATATTTAAATTTTTAAAAATTCTTGCTCTCTTTATCTTTCGGGTTTTTATTCTCGGGATCCAAGAAGCACCTGATCGCATGTATCCGTGAAATCTGTCTCCACATCAATATCTTCATCCTCGGATAGATTTCCCTCATCACCAGGATTAATCACAACGTCTATGCTGCCATCTTCGATCTCGCGAGTCGACGACGCTGATGCCAAAACTGCAGATTCATCAACATGACCACCACTAGAGGCACCACTTCCGTTACCGCTGTTTCCGGTGAGGAGTTTGTTTTTCTTTGTCTCATGAGTCTTGACGTGTTTGCTGAGATGATCACTGCGCATAAAACGCTTGCCACACTCTGTACATGCAAATCTCTTCTCGCCCGTGTGAGTTCGCAGATGGCGTTGCAATTCATCCGAGCGAGTGAAACTTTTGCCACAAAATAGCCAGTTGCAGACGAATGGCCTCTCACCCGTGTGCCATCGCAAATGCGCCTTCAGGTGTGATGTCTTGCCGTAAACCTTGCCACAACCTGGAATATGACAGATGTGCTGCTTACGTTTTTGCACGCCACTTCCGCTGCCGTTGTTCCCACCCGAACCAGAGCTACCTGAACCGGACCCGGGTGAATTGGGTGAATTAAGGGCATTTTGGCAGTTTGGGCAACGACATCGTCGACAGCGTCTGGCAGCAATGACCCCCGATGAAGTAGGACCTCTGGTGGCACCGGTACTGTTGAAGATCGTGGTGATATTTCCATGGTAACGGATTGCAGCCGCTGCCTTCGATTGGTTCAGCATAATATTTGACTGAAATGAGTATTTAAAATCAGATGGCAGATTGGCTGACGAGGGCGGGTTGGGGATGCTCCACCATGGGGTTTCGGCTTCCGAAGCCGGAGGTGGTGACATTTGTTTGGGCACAGAGTTAGCTGACAGGGAACCGCTCGAAGTCAAACTGTTTCCTGGGGCCATTGATGTAAGTACCAAACTGTTTCCAGGTAAGATGCCGTGACCGGCTGCCATTACAGTCTGCTGTGCGAGTCTCGCCTGGTGCAAGTCGTAATTAAAAGCCGGTGGTGGTGGGTGAGGTGGTGGGCCTGGAGGAGCACCTGAAGATGAGTGTGGGTGCACATGACGAGCGGGTCCAGCATGTGATAAGTGGTGCGGGTGGTGAGGGTGGTGATGGGGTGGGGTGGTGATGGTGATGGGGATGGGGATGGTGGTGTGTTGGCCCCATTGAACGGAGTACCTGCGCTACCGTAAGTCCGGACGGTCCCACGGCCGAAACATCAACTTCAAATGTAGTACCCATCGGGCCGGTGATAGTAGGCTGGGTAGGAGGACACGGATGGCGAGTAGAGTGCCACGCCCCGTGTCCAAGAAGCGGGGCTGCTGAACGGGCTATGTCCATGGTGCCGGGGGTGAGACGGCTGCAGGTAGCTGCTAGCATAGTTAATGGAGACGGTTTGGCCAACTCAGATGTTGGAGAAAATGTCGGACCCTGAAAATAAAAGCAAAGAGTTTTAATAATAATATTGTGTATCGCATTAAATTTGCATGTAACTACGTAATAAAATTAATATAAATTTATTCATTTGAAAGTCAATTATTTTGCTTATCCTGAAATGTTTCCTTCAACGGACATATTTTTTTTTCCTTCTCATGCATTTTTATCCATACTCTCCTTTCACGCAGACATAGTCACTGTCAATCCCCTTTGGGGAATTAAATAGTGCGAGTCCTCACTATATACAACACTTAACACACACAAGCACACATATACATTCTTTCTTATGTCTGTCTATCTATAGATGAAAGAGTTTTACAGCCTGATCCTATGTCAGCCTAAGAGACATTTCACTCTCGACGTCTTTTAGCTTCTGGATTTACCGATTTTCATTTTACGGGGTTTTTCAGGCCCCATTTGAAAGACATTTTAGAAGCGTTGATACAAATATCCACATCTTAAGGACTCCGACGTTATGAATCAGTCACCTAAAATATAATGAATATCGCATACAAATTGTTTTGCTTTCTTTTGCTAAAGAAAAGAGTAAAGCAAGGAAAAGAATCAAAGCCAACGTTTCAGTGGGTGGGGGTTCACACGGCTAAACAAGAGGCCTTCAAAGACGATAAGTCACTTTGATGTAGTGTTCCTCCGTCAGTTTCATTTAAAATTAAACCTTTGATCTCTGCACCGCTTCCAAAATAGACGTCCATTTTTTTTTTTATTAAGCCAGGTCAATATTATTATTACTAGCAAGGTTACTCAATTTTGCCACGATTTAAAAAATGTTATAAAATCATTAAGATTTTTAACAACTGACTTATTTTATGCTGTCGAAGTTACATCTGATTCAGTGGTTAATTAAATATGGAAAAAGACAGAGCCGAACCACTGATAAAAAGAGAGAAAAAAAACCTGTTAATTTGAATCTAGTAAGTAATGAATTTAAATGAAGTTCCTAACGTTTTGTACGTCGAACCTATTTTAGGACCGACTTAGTACAAATACAAGCATATATCGGCATTTCAACGTAAAACTTGTTCATTCTTGCGATGAAATAGGAAAAAAAGGTAAAACTATTTCATCGAATTTTTCTAAAATGAATGTATCTTCAGACTTTAATTAATTCAAATGTAATAGATGTTATTCTATCGATCTGATATAAACAAATGTTATACTTGAATTTACTTGAAAGAATATTAGAGACGTTTGACTATTCTTCTTTAAAGAGAAAATCGTATTTCATTTCGTCTGTCTATAATAGATCAATTCTTCTGGATATCAGAATTTAGCTACAGTTATTAGTCTCATGAATTCTATTTCAACTTTAACTTTCCATCTTTTAACTTTCACTAGACTAATTAACCTAAATAAACAATATATATATATATGTGTGTGTGTGTGTTTGTGTGCGTATGCGAAAAGTGTGTGTATATAAATATAAATGTGTGTGAATGTATGTGTGTGTTTGTATGTGTAATATATATATTATTATTTATATATTATATGCGCGGTACTTATTAGAAAGCGCTCAATATCAGAGATAGAATTAACATATTTGGTTGGATTGATATGAATTTGTGAGCCTGGGTCTCACGCTTTTGCGATCGCCAGCTGACGATCGCAAAAGCGTTAAACCCAGGGTCACAAACTCACATCAATCCAACCATATATATATATATATATATATATATATATATATATATATATATATATATATATGTTGTGAAGTGATTTCACCGTGGAGGCTTGTATTTGTACTAAGTCGGTCCTAAAATAGGTTCGACGTACAAAACGTTAGGAACTTGATATAATAGGTAATGACGCAGAGAAATCTAGTCGTGGTCGCTGATACTTTAGTATTCGACTAACGGTCGTCCGGCATCGACTCACTAACCGACTGACTCGTTGCTGTTACTACTCCTACTTATTATAGGTGGAAGAGTCTATTAACTATAGAATAGGTGTGTTCCACTATAACAATATATATATATATATATATATATATATATATATATATATATATATATATATATATTATAATTTATTCAAAGATAAGCAAACTTTTCAAATTTAAATGTTGAAAGTTTGACGATATAGATATTTTTCTCAGAAAAATGAAAGCAAAGAATAGTGAAATTGAAATATTTTGATAGCTTTTATTATTCTTTTCTAAATAACAATAAACTTTTTACTTATATTCACTTTAATACCGATTCCTACATTGCATTTTTGTTTTGTCTATGGAAGTTATTTGGCGGTGGTATGGATAAGATACTCAGAAGTAGTCATCAGTTTTTATCAACAATAAAAGAACATTTTATTGCAACAGCACTCAACTATTAAATGACATTATTGTGATATGTGTGATGTCTGAGACAATTGCATATTTCCCATTGGCGCCAGTTGTAGTCCCTGATTTTGAATGATGATTATCAGATTCGTTATACCATCCCTACGTGTCGAACTGGCACAATTTCCAATCAGCATTTTCTATATTTGGAATTTTACTATATTAAGCTAAACTTATTACATATCATTATTAAATAAGCTTAGTCTGGTAGGTAGAAGTGGAGAGCACCCAGTGGAGCTCGAATTCACTCCATACTGCATACTGTATATTAATATGTATGGCTAGTTTACTAATCGACATCATACAACAAATGATTAAAGTTTAGTAAAGATCAGAAGTCATTATTATTATCAGCCTTTTATTTCCTTTGATTTCTGGTGCGTACTCATTTCTTTCCGGGTCCCGTCCAGAGACCTAAAGTTCCACTGACCAATTAACAAAAAAATAAATATATATAATGTTGATGTTCCCATGTGCCACTTTTTTGAGATTTCGATTCTTCTTCTTCTTCTTCTTCTTCTTCTTCTTCTTATTATTATTATTATTATTATTATTATTATTATTGTCGTAGTTTTTCTATTATTATTATTATTATTATTATTATTATCGCCGTAATTTTTCTATTATTATTATTATTATGGCCATAGTTTTTTCTTTTATTATTATTATTATTATTATTATTATTATTATTGCCATAGTTTTTCAAAAGTGAAATTATGACCAGTTTCACTTTTCTTAATTCTTACTATGCCGTCTCAGATTTTATCCATATTTGAGACATTCTGAAATCATTTACATATCATTTAAATTTGAGTTTCTCACAGGAACTTCATCAGCAAGTATTAGGCATTTTTCAACTTTGTTCGTTCTTTTCCTTTCAGAGTGTAATATGACAATACAACTATGTTTACTATTATATATATTCATTTGCCCTGGGAGACAAGAATCAAGTTATTCATTTCGATTGCCTGCAGAAACAAACAATTTTATCATGTGGCGTCTCAGAACACTTAACATTTTTGCTCTCATGCAAACATCGCTAATATACTTGAAGAAAATCTTTTGACACATTATAATCAACAGGAAAATAACGTTACTTCAGTTTTCAAAGGTATCAACTTTTTATGATTGCTACTTTCCTTATTTTATTTCTGGTTTCCATTCACTACAAATAACTGAAAGGTTAAATCTTTGTCAATGACAGAGAGTTTAACGAACCAGAAGAGTTTGATCAGAACCAGATTTGACCCATCGATGAACCAATCAGAGACCACAAATGAGTTTTATATCAATTGCTTAGTTTAGCGAGTTTTTTTTTCATTACATTTTATTGAGATAGAAAGCGATACAGATATGAAGGAATTCTTGAGATTTTCATACGGCCCACGTGCTTTTTTTTAGAAATTGCAGATCCAAACGACTACAAATATCATAAGTCACGGTGGGACATTTGCAGGTTTGCAATGGTTAAACGTCTTTCCACCCTACTAACATACACGCACACACACACATACACACACACATACACAGACTGATTTCAGAATGATAGCAGTTTGATCATTACCCAGCATTCATACTTTAACGGTGGACAAAATCAGCTTCCGCTTCTTATTCTCCCTTATGAAACATTTTTCGGTTAATTTGCAGTGTAACACCCGCACTCAGTTCGCATTAACAATTTCCAAAATACTTACATTTATGTATAATTCTACATGCTCCATTCGAATCTGGCTTGATAAATTTGATAAAATCTACCGTTTTGGAGTTATCAACAGTGAAATTTTGGATTCATTCGCGTCGCGGGCAGCCATTATGGGTGTTGTTTGCATACATTCGCTGTAGAATAGCTATCAGTATCGGTATCATTGCGCAAACTGATCGAGTCTACGTAAATAGTTCTCGTGCACAGTAATTGCCACAAATTTAGACAAGAAAGATCAGTTCTGAGCTTAGCTCCCATGTTTAGCTTTCTGCAGCAAATGTATGCAAACAACACGAGTAATGGCGGCCGCCAACGACGCGATTGAATCCCAAATTTCACTGTTGATAATTTCAAAACGGTAGATTTTATCAAATTTATCAAGCCAGATTCGAATGGAGCATGTACAATTACACATAAATGTAAGTATTTTGGAAATTTTTAATGCGAATTCAGTGCGGGTCTCACACTGCAAATTAACCCAGTTTTTTTCTTATTAAACGTTGTACCTGATGCAGAATATAATTTTTAAGATTTTCCAGGTATTACTCAGATTTTTACCGCTTTTTTTTCTATTTAGCCAAACACATAGTACCTAATGTTTTCTCTGTTAATATTACGTGAACAAATTTGAGATCAGTACCTTAGAGCAGGGGTCGGCAACCTTTTGTTAACTTAGGATTTTAAAATCATTCAGTGTGCCAACAGCATACGTATATTTATACAAGTCAAGATCAATTTACCTGATCTACAATATATTTTATATAGTAATATATACAAAAATATGCAAACCACATTAATAGAAATAAACTGTTTTTAAAAGATTTTTAAGTTTTTTTTATTAATGGGAGTCCAACGAGTGAGCAGTTTTGAAACAACTAAATATCTTCTTTGTGTTGTAGTAGTTCGGACTTCGTGATGTCATTTGTGGCTGCGTGCCATTGAAAATTCCTTGGCGTGCCACGTGTGGCAGGCGTACCGTAGGTTGCCGACCCCTTCCTTAGGGTATGGTTACCGATTAATCAGTAAAAGTTCGCATTTTGCTTCTAATTCTCTGAGAGTTAGTGCAAGTTTTACTGAGATGCTGGCGCAACATATTCTTTTCCTCGTCTGATAGTACATTTGCTAATGTTAGTGACCTCAAATTAGGTTAGAGAAATTTATGATTTTGGAAGCATAAATGTACCAAAATGAGCAAACACAATATTTCTACCATTTATTGTTTCCGTTCTCTCATTTGCACAGATATTTCATCTGATTCACTAGTAATGGTCTGCGAGATAAGCCTTATTCTAAATCATGCTGGAAGCCTGAAAATATGTACACACCGACTTGACGTACCCATTATGAGAATGTGCGTTTGAATAAATGAAGTTGTTGAATATTTTTTTCGAACACCAGCCGTCGTGGTTGGATTAGATACTCGGACATTTAGACAACGGACATTTAGACAACGGACATTTGAACGACAGACATTTAGTCACTGGTGACTGGATCTGAGCTTGTCTCTGGTGGTGACAAATGAACGGTCTCGGATGAAAAGCACAAAAGTGACATTGACACGTATAAGCGCGAACACCTTGTCTAAATATGCACTCCCCGACTATTCAGATGATTCTGCGGTTGATCTGAATAAGAGAAGACTATTCCGGAGCAAGCACGTGCTGAAAGAAAGAGAGAGGTAGGAAGAGAGAGGCGGAAAAAAATGTGGGGAGGAAAGACTAAAAAAAAAAAAGGAAAGAAAAATAACATTATCATATTGTTAAACAGTAAAATCGATTCATCGTTCTAAATAATAAAAAAAAAAAATTAAATATGCTTGACAGCCGTATAGATATTACATTTAGACCAAGGGTTCTCAACAGGGGTGAAATTCACCCCCAGGGAGTGAATTTTGGATTTTCAGTCGTTGATTGTGATCACAGTAAGTTTAGTGGGGAGGGGGGAGAGCAATTATAGAATTTGGCCTATCTGGCCTGTCACCTTTAAAAGTAGGGGGTAGAGGAGAGCAATTATAGAATTTCACCTATCTGACCTGTCAACTTGAAAAGAAGGGGGGGTGGCATTCTGACAAGTGGTGAAAGGGGTGCATGGGGCGAGCAAGTTTGAGAACCCCTGAGTTAGACCTTTATATGCAAGCAATGAACCTGGCTAAATTGGATGCAGTTTCAAATCCCATCACCAACTATTTATCATCAGATTCTTAGCTTTAGTCAAATGATATTTGCTAAACTTAGCGTAGACTATCAGAGGGTCAAATCAAAAATAAAATTATGTTGCACAAATGTCCAAAATGGTTTACAGTTGCTTTGCCTAGCAAATCTGATTTCGAAACACTAATGAATTGCAACAGTGTGAACATTTGACCGAGGAACATTTGGCCGAATGGATATTTGGCCGACGGACATTTGGCCGAGGGACATTTGGTCAAATGGATATTTGGCCGACAGACATTTGGCCGAGGGACATTTGGCCGAATGGATATTTGGCCGACGGACATTTAACTGAATGGACATTTAGCCGAATAGATATTTGACCGACGAACATTTGGCCGACGGACATTTGGCCGAATGGATATTTGACCGACGGACACTTGACCGAGGAACATTTGGCCGACGGACATTTAACTGAATGGACATTTAGCCGAAAATATAGTGGCGTACTTACATGTATGTCACACTCTTTATCGTAATGTGCTACATATATTTATATTTATTTACTGTATTAATTTATAATTTGTCGATTTTTTTCTTTTTGACAGGCTCTTATTAAACACTAATCTGCATATATTATATTTAACTTCAAATATTACTGTAAGATGATAAGTATTTTGAAAAAAAGCACATTTTACTACAGCAAAATTCTTAAGCTTTTACGATATGAAAGATCTTTCAATTTCGCTTTTAATGACCATTATCTTCAAGGGATGAACTAGCTTTTATGTTACTGTTAAATACGAATTTAAATAATTAGGTGCTACTTTTATCCAGATACACTCAAATAATATTAAAATACTAGTTTCAATAAACAAATATTAAAATAAGATAACTTATAACTTTAAATTTAGATTTAGTAATTTAATCACTCGAAATTCAGTGGTAATTATTAATTCTATTCTACCTTATAATACTGCTAATTAAAATACTTAAAGTATTGCTTGTTACTGTTTTTACTTGTACTTTTTCCGTGAAATGTCCGTCGGCAAAATGTCTGTTCGGCCAAATGTCTCCTGGCAAAATATCTGTCGGCCAAATGTCCGGCCACGGTTTGATTAGAAGCCAGGATTTTGCTCGTTGAATTACTTTTCAAGGAAAGCAAGTACCTAGTCCATCCACACTCTATTCAATGCTATTCTGCATAAAGCTAAACTTCGTTAGGGTCAGTGTACAGTTTTATCAATGTGCACAAATATACAAATTTAAGCGATGCAAATATGCATATTTTTATTATCTTTTGATTACTTAAATTTTCGTATTAGAATATACAAAAGTAGAAACACACAAAACATAGATCTATAAATAAATAAATATACACGTCACCATATGTAGGTGTGGTTGGATGGAAGAAATCTATATTAGCGTGATTTAATATTTATATATTTTTCCCTGTTCCTCTGAACGATTTCTTAAGTTGATAATAATCTTAAAGCATAATGAATTTTCTTTTTTACTTAAAATGTGCACAACTGACAGATAGATAGATAGATAATGAACAGCCTGAGATAGATAGATAGATAGATAGATCTATTCTGACCATGAAGATTTTTTTTTATTTGATGTTTGGTCATTTGGTCAGATCTTGAGAAAAAATTTGGCCAAGAACATTTCATCATCTCTTTGTACATACATACATACATGTATATACATGTATATATATATATATATATATATATATATATATATATATATATATATATATATATAAAATAAATATAAATATATTCTTTCTTTTATAATGGCTTGAGAATGTAGAAAATGCTAAGAATTTGGACTTAAACAACCTCGATTATGTTGTTAATTAACTGGCATAAACGAAGAGTTATTAAAATATCCTTAAAAGACCTTTCTTTGGTCTTTATTAAAAGTTCTCTCTCTCTCCCCTCTCTCTCTCCCCTCTCTCTATATATATATATATATATATATATATATATATATATATATATATTGATTATAATATTTACATCGCTACACAGAAAATTTCTGTTTCGGAGTTTAAAATTGTTCCTCGTCAGGCGATGTTAAGTTACCTAACATCGCCTGATGAGAAGCAATTTTAAGCTCAGGAATAGAGAAATTTTTGTGTAGCGATGTAAAATATTATAATAAAAATATTATAATGATATTTTGCTCTCCGTCGTATCGAGCACTTTTTAAAAAAGTAAAAGCTAAGAACGGTGGAGACTTAATTTGTCTTTCTCTTTATATATATATATATATATATATATATATATATATATGTGTGTGTGTGTGTGTGTGTCTGTCTGTCTGTCTGTCTGTGTATGTGGGTGTCTCTGTGTGCATGCTACGACTCCTCACATAAGGACAGCTATAAAATCTCATAAAATAAAAAACATTCAACCAATCGGTACTTTCCGTTGTACGAAAATTTCTTGAAAATCGATCAAAATAAATAAAAAGTTGAATAAAACAATAAGGTAAAAAATAAATATCTAACTGTATTCCCAGCATGCAATTCAAAGTAACATAGAGATTAGGATTTTTAAATTTGTTTAATACACTAATGTACTATATAAACAGTTAAAAATTAGAACTGTTAAAAAATAGTACAAAAATGAAATTAATGCTGTCTGAAGATAGTTAACAAAAAGTCATTACACTCTGGTAGTTAAGTATATACACTGTGACTATATATATATATATATATATATATATATATATAAATTTTAAATTAATTTTTTCACTCTTGAAAGTAAAGTCTGAAGGTCCAGTGAAAAGTAAATATCTCTGGTGAAATAAATTATAACAATGGAACCTTAAAGTGATCTGTTTTTTCTTTAAATTAATATATATATATATATATATATATATATATATATATATATATATATATATATATAATGTATGTATTCGGCCAGAAGTGATCAACCCAATAACCACATTAACGTCTATAAATACAAAAAAGTTAGGGTGTGTGTGTGAGTCTCCTGGCAGAAAATAGAATCACCATATTTATCATGGAAGTATTAATAAAGTTGGATTACAGTAAATAATCATATATTTTGATCAATATGCGTACGGGTTAAAATAAATCAGTATTCTCTCTTACACACACACACTCTCTTACTCTCTTTCTCTCTCTCTCTAGATATATACTCGACTCTCCCGTCGAATTCGACGTCGAATGGTCAAGCAGATCGGTTTCCTAGGAAACCGACAGCCCGACAACAGCACGTGAGATTTGATTATAGTGGTGAAGGTTTCGTGCAGGACCATCCACACTTTTTGAAGGGCCGAATACAGAGACCTGGTGCACTACATGCCACGAGGTCCCCAAACGACCCTCCGCAGATTTTGAATTCAGAGTTGTCCTTCTCCTAGACCAGTTGCCATCCAAGGCTATAGAACCCAGTCTGTCCTGCTATTTATCCATAACTGGAGGGAAAAGAAGAGGATTCACACCTTTCCAAAGGGTATTAGCACATAAATGAATGTAATGGATTCGACTGGAATTCGAACTCGGCTCACCGATTCCTCAACATATATATATATATATATATATATATATATATATATATATATATATATATAAAATGATATTTTTATTATAATATTTACATCGCTACACAAAAAAAATTCTGTGTTTCGGAGCCTAAAACTGTTCCTCGTCATGCGATGTTAAGTTACCTAACATCCACTGATCAGGAGCAATTTTAAGCTCCAAAACACAGAAATTTTTTGTGTGGCGATGTAAATATTATAATAAAAATAATATAATGATATTTTGCTCTCCGTTGTATCGAGCACTTTTTTTTTAAAGTAAAAGCTAAGAACTGTGGATATATATATATATATATATATATATATATATATATATATATATATATATATATATATATATTTGTCTGTGTATTCAGACACCGTGTTAATATATTTTTCCCCCTTCTTTGAGATTTAACACCTGACATTACTTTCGTATGCATATGATCACAAGGTACTGCGATTGGTTATTCGGAGCTTCTTGCACCTGTTGATCCAGTACAGCTTCAGGTGGATTAACTCAACAAGTCATTATTGTCCCATCATGTCCCATACATAATCTTAGTTGAGTAGCACGGTCATGATGTGGGCGGGCATTATATTGCTAGAACAGCATATAAACGCAGTAGAACGGGTTGGACGAAAGTTCTGGACATACAATGGTGCTGTTGAACATCCCCTCTACAAATATCTAAGGCGAACGAGAGTTTTAACTTACGCGCACCCCACAACATGATAGGGTTTGTGCTTGGGTTGTTAGGCAAATACACTCTCGGAAATTGACTTGAGTAGCGACATTTCCGAGAGTGTATTTGCCCACAACCCAAGCACAACCCATGGCATCATGTTGTGGGGTGCGCGTAAGTTAAAAAATTACTTTGCATGTTAGACATATGGCGTCGATGATGATTCGACAGTGTTCAAATGAACATTCATGCACCAGTGTACAATTTCCTGCATGCAAAAAGGTGAAAAAGATTTGGTCAAATTAAAAGAAAGAACAATGAAGTATAAGAAAACCCGAAGAAATGTAAAGGAAAAATGAAAAAAAAAAAAATGAAAAAGCTGCGAGAATCAAACAGGAAAAATAAGAAAGGAAAGACGAAAGAAAAGTAAAACGAGAAAAAAAGACAGAAAACAACAACAACAAAAAAAAAGAATTTTAGAAAGTATAAGAAAAGGATAGAAATATTAAGTTTCTTGTCAGCAAGAGAGGAAATATTAAAATAAAGATGATGGGAGGGAAAGAAAAATGAAATTGAGAGCAAACGAATTGGAAACGAAGAAAGGAAAAGTGTAAAGGAAACAAGAGTAGAATTGTAGAACAAATAAAAGGAAAAATAAAACAGAAATAATTTCAAAGAAGAAAAGAAAACTGAATTGAAAATGGGCTGAAACTTCGAGAGACGAAACAAGCGGAAAAAGAAAAAAGAGATAGATAGATAGATAGATAGATAGATAGATAGATAGATATGAATTGGCTGATAGATGACAATGTAGGTCGCTGGAAAATGATAGATGACATGAGATCGCTGGAAAATGAACACAGCAGGATAATAACGGCCTTAAACTTGACGAAAACAAAATTTTATCGTCTAGATATTTTTGTTTTTATTAAGAGGAAAGAACAAAGTAATTTTAAATTATTTTTCAAAATTTTTCTGTCTTTATTAGAGCATTCTAACTTCTGTCTGAAAAACCTCGTTTCTCTTTCATCAGCGAATGTCCTACTAAATAACATGGCGGATAAAAAAATAATATAAAATAATTTAAAAGAAAACTCGGTTGAAAATGGGATGAAACTTCGAGAGACGAAACAAGCGAAAAAAAGGGAAAAAAAGAGATAGATATAGCTAGCTAGCTAGATAGATAGATAGAAAATGCATATATACCAATAAAGAGATAGAAAGATAGATAGAAAATGCATATATACCAAGAGATAGATAGATAGATAGAAAATGCATATATACCAAGAGATAGATAGATAGATAGAAAATGCATATATACCAATAAAGAGATAGATAGATAGATAGAAAATGCATATATACCAAGAGATAGATAGATAGAAAATGCATATATACCAAGAGATAGATAGATAGATAGAAAATGCATATATACCAAGAGATAGATAGATAGATAGAAAATGCATATATACCAAGAGATAGATAGATAGATAGATAGATAGATAATGGTAATATTAACTGTTTTCTTATAAGGAAACCTTCCGCATTTATTGACAGAGCAGCCAGTGCTACTTTCGATGGCATTTTATAAAATCTTTTTCTTAAAAAAAAAAAAAAAACTTTTCGGGGAAAGTTGGCTTCTCGTGTTCACTAGCTGTTATAGCTCTTTCCAGTACTAACTCCCTAATCTTTTGTTTTTTGAAAGATAGAAAGCAGAAAAAGAAAAAGCATTCTAGAAAGTATAAGAAAAGGAAAGAAATATTAAGTTTCTTGTCAGCAAGCGAGAAAATATTGAAATGAAAATGATGGGAAAGAAAGAAAAATGAAATTGAGAGCAAACGAATTGGAAAGGAGGAGAGAAAAAGAAAAGACTAATAGAAGCAAAGGGTAGGATAGGAGAACAAAAGAGAGGGAAAATTAAAAAGAAAAAAAAAAAGAAAACTGAATTGAAAATGGGCTGAAACTTCGTGAGACGAAACAAGCGGAAAAAAAGGAAAAAAAAGAGGGGGGGGGAATAATTGAAAAGTAAGCGTGTAACGATAACGGGTTGTCGGCACGATCGGAGGGTAAATCAGGCGCGTCAAGCGGCTTTGGTATTTAATGGCTGTTTTAATGCTGGGGTTATTTGTTACATAAACAGTTGGTCTGGAGGGTGTTGGGATAGAACTGGGAATAATAAAAGCTGGGAGAGTGATTTTTGAAGGTGTCTGTTTCTTCCCTTCACATGTACCCACAAAGTGTGAGAAGACAAGCGACACACACCACGATTATTACCATTGCCTGCGAGTACTTGCGGTAGAAGTGTCGCTTCCATAACCAAAGAGTCCGGATTTGAACCAATGGAAACCCATCTCCTGCACATGAACCGTGAAATCGTATACCTGCGATAGCCCTGATTCACATGCTAAAATCATTGGTCTAATAGATAATGGTAAAAGCCTCAGCATTTATCGAGATCTGTAAGGCTGAAGAAAGATCTTTCCTTAAAGACAACTTGTCTGGTTCAACCCGTGTAATTTAAGCCTCTTAACAGTGTAATAGTTTTGTCTTTTACCTTTCCAGGTCTGTTGTTCTGTTTGTGAAGGCAATGGGATAAAAAATATCAAACGGAATTTATACATTACATATGCATGTCAAAGAGCTTACGCGCGAGAACACCCTCACCCCACACGTATTCACTCCCCACACACACACACACACACACACACACACACACACACACACAAGCACGCACGCAAGCTGTCGAAAGAAAAAAAGAATGGGACAATATGAACGTCGTTGATTACGTGAAAGCAGAGCGTCTAGACACAGGGGAGTTGTTTTTTCTATTATTTTTACTCCATATCATATTACAAATTTCTATCAATCAAAACTACTTGACACTATAATAGTCACCGTTCAAAGAAAATGTAAAAAAAAATCAAATACTTTTCAATAAATTATTTAATGTACTTACATCTTACAATGCAATTTATTATCCACATCGCGACAATAGCCTGTGTAGAGTGATAAGTGTGAGAAACTTAGATTCATTTGAAATTGTGAATGAGGGCGACAAACATGAACATTCGTTTACGAGCGTACATATGCATTAAATATAGAATGCAAATCTGCTAATTCTTAACACACCAACCCACCCATAGATAGATAGATAGATAGATAATGAACTTGTGCCTTAATTCAGACAATACCAGTTACCCTAAAAACAGACACACATTTCAATAAGATAGATAGATAGATAGATAATGAACTGGTTGCCTTAATTCGGACAATACCAGTCACCCTAAAAACAGACACGCATTTCAATAAGATAGATAGATAGATAGATAGATAGATAATGAACTGGTTACCTTAATTCAGACAATACCAGTTACCCTAAAAACAGACACACATTTCAATAAGATAGATAGATAGATAGATAGATAGATAGATAGATAATGAACTGGTTGCCTTAATTCGGACAATACCAGTCACCCTAATAACAGACACACATTTCAATAAGATAGATAGATAGATAGATAATGAACTGGTTACCTTAATTCGGACAATACCAGTTACCTTAAAAACAGACACACATTTCAATAAGATAGATAGATAGATAGATAGATAGATAGATAGATAGATAGATAGGGAGGGACACTCTGACAAAGAAGAATAGACAGTCCGATAGACAAATGTCTTGTGATGTAATTTAATAACTACATAACTACATGGATAGGTAGTACGATTGAGTTTGGAATCCAATTGTTGTTCCTATCAGTTGTTTGTGCACCTTGCCGAAAATAGTGTATTCGAAGTCTGATTTTCGCTTCCGTTGAAACACAATGCTGGCCGTCAATTGCTTCTTCATTAAATATGAACAAATGCTTGAATTGTGGTAATTAAATGGGAATAAAAATGATGGCAAGAGAAAGAGAGAGGAAAGTATTAAAAAAAAGCAGACAGTTGAGTAAGGAGGCTTGAATTTGCAACTGAGGTCTTTGCAATTTGGATAATGGACATGATTATTATAAGGATTTATGCAAATCAGCTATTTCCGTAAACAATGTCGATCTGACGTTTTAATGTTTTTTTCTATGCGACATTTCAATCAATATACAGTGTAACCCGGATATAAAAGAGTTGTCGGGACCGGAGAAGAAGTCTCTTATATCCGGGTTTCTCTTATATCCAGGTTTGGTCTATTTTACATACATTAAAATACAGGCTCTAATTTGGGACCAGTGAAAATCTCTCTTATATCCGGGTTTCTCTTATATCCGGGTTACACTGTAAAATGAAATGCAATCATATTTGTGCTTTATTTGCATATCTTTACCAACTGAAGTCTTTGAGAATTTAGTCTTAAGGATGCTACATCTATTCTGACATCAACTTCGAACAGATCAGATAAAGAAAAAAGTTCCCTTCATATGTTTGAGACAGGCTTAGACGCAGACATTAATGTTGGGGTTTATGAACACTGTAAAAGCAAAGAAAATATTCTTTAAAACGCTACAGTAATGAAGGACTGAATTGTGAAAATAATTGCTTCCATGTATTGATGACACAATTTCGTAGTACTGGACTTAACGTTTATTAGCAATAATGACGGACCTTTGTATCCGCGGTTTTCGCATTCGAAAATACTAGAAAGATTCTAGAAAAATTCGCAAATGTACAACTTGAAATTGCCACGTGCCAAGCACTACACCGAATCCACGCAAATGAAGTGCTTTATAGTCATACAGATATAGTCATCTGTCATTTCGTAGATCATCAATCTCTCCAGTATATATCCTCGTGCAAATTAATTGAAACAGCCGCTTTAGTTTCCTTTCTTTCAATATATGGTCAGTTTTAGACCCACAGGAGTCACAGTGTGTAATCGATTTCTATTTGTTCCTCAAATTAGGTCATTTACAGTGGTGTGCAGTAATATGAATCTATTTCCAGAGTGTATGATGGAATTTGTTAGGTCTTGAAAAATATTGCGTCATCCGTGATTGCATCAGATTTTTATCACGCCAGACCCTATTGTCTCAACTGTCGATTAGTTGTCCTAAGGCCATTGTTTGCGATGTGCGTTACACCAAGGAAGCGTATACAAATTGTAACGCTGCACAAACACACTGGCAAGTCTTACCAGTGAGCAAATCAATGTACTATAGACTTACGGGTAAACACTCCTGATTTAAATCCAATCGATAATCTGTGATCAATCTGCAAGGAATGACTTCATGGGATGTGCATATGAAGTACTAATATGTGAACTGGGTCATGTTTCATTGGAAAAATACGAAAAATGTAAATAACAACGGAATTATTCGTTTTGTTTCAATTAATTTGTACAAGGTTTGACATACACTGCTGGCCGTTATCTTAAGGCTAATGAAAATAAAGAAAAAATATGCCTATTGCGTTGTTAGAACCTTACCTCATATTTGAGAAGAGCTTCGAGAAATGAAAATGAGAAAAGAATAACTCAAAATTAAAAACTTTTTTTTAGCATTTAATAAACAAAATTGGAATAATGGGTAATTAGGATAAATACAAGCTGGTCTAAAGTTTAAGACCATATTTAAATGAAGCTATAATTGAATACGTAACAAAATTTAGTCATTTATTTTCAAGATTTAGCACAGTTAGTATCTGATAAATCCTGCGTTACATTTGGTTAAAACATGACCCATATTAAAGGTTAACAAAGTTTGAGCGTAGCAGAATTGTCGAGCTGCAAAATAAAAGTCTCTTTCAACGTAAAATCGCTACTTATGTTGTGTGGGCCCTTTTTTTCAGAATTTTGAAACCTATTAAAAAAAATTTATCATTTTACAAATAATAACGAAAAATTTATAAACATCCAATAATTCGTTAATTTTTTGTAGATTTAAAAAAAAAATCAAAGTGTTTTTCGCGTAAAAAACAAACTTTCTAATGGAAATAATTTCGATGTTTGTTTATAGGCTAAGAAAAAAAAAAACTTTCGACACAATTACTTTTCACAGATATCTCCGGTTCTATAAAGTGAACAGAATCAATTTCGATAACAAAATCTTTTCCAATCTTTCTTTTAGTTATGGCACAAACAGTGTCGATTCTGGTCATCTGAAAGTTTTGGAGGGTGAGATTTTTCTGCGTCTTTATTTTCATACTACCCCAATATCGTATACACAACTTAGAAATGAGTTTTAGTATAAGTATGTTACTTCACTAAATTAAACGGGATAACTTTTCATTCATAGTAGTGGAGTTCTAATCTATTCTTGCCCTCTTTTCCACTCTGAAGCTGTTGGACCCCAAGAGAGGTTAACTTCAAAACAAAATCAAAGGGTTAATACTAACGTCAATACTAGCAGAATAGTGTAATTTGTCTGCTGATGTTTTTCTCTATAAAACTTAGAAGTGTGGGGGGGACTGAGGGGCCAGCCAAAATTTATTTTGTGCGAAATTGGCCCTTTCTGCTCCCTTGTAAAATCGCCATTGGCGGTCATGCGTCCTCACATGTCACGTATCAAACTATCAATCTGCTAGTAATTCATTGGTCATGTTTTACTTACTTACTTATCCAATAGTAAGTAAAAGCATAAGGGTTCGTTCTTCTTTGACATAGATAAGTACATCCAGCAACACAACAGAAGATATCTTCCCTTTTTAATAAAAAGTGCAGTCAGTCGGATCATATCAAAAGTTTCCAGTTCTGAGTTGGTTATTTAACGGGTAGTGTAGGAAACCACCACTGAAAACAAATGGCGATTCTGGAAGTCTGTAAGTGTGTGTGTGTGTGGGGGGCACTGGGGGCGACTTGAGGGGAACTTGAGGGGGGCAATATTTTTTTCGGCGGAGGGGAGGCAAATTCAAGCAGTGTCTTTAATTTGTCTGCTCTGATTTTTTTTTTCCTCTTCAAAACTTAGAAAAGTCAAAATTCTGGGGGGGGGGTATTGGCCCTCCCGCCCCACCCCCGTAGAATCGTCACTGGGCACAAATATTTTGACTTTTAAACAAGGCTTTTCCCCCTCAAAGGTGTAGATTTTCGGTCGAAATCTTTGTTCATACTCTCAGTATAAAACTATTTACATATTATTTACATTGTATCAAGTATAATAAGTAATTCATAAATGATTCAACGTATGCAACACGACGTGCTTAGGTTATATGCAAATACTTTGCCATTTTATATGACTTGGACATTTTGGTATTTATGAGAGGTTTTGTAACCAATTCACCGCGTATACTGAGGGACGAGTGTACAGCCATCACAAGCAAACAATTGGTTTAATGTTCACAGTCTTTGGTTTGGTTTGATTTGTTTTACGGCCTATCAACCACAATGAGTTATTTAATGCCGACAAGATTTTTATTGTTGGTAATGTTTTTTTCAAAAATGTGTTGCCGGTAATAATTTTTTCAAAAAATATATTGATGTTAATATTTTTTTTCAAAAATGTATTGATGGTAATATTTTTTCCAAAAATATATTGATGGTAATATTTTTTTTCAAAAATGTATTGATGGTAATATTTTTTTTCAAAAATGTATTGATGGTAATATTTTTCCCAAAAATGTATTGACGGTAGTATTTTTTCCCAAACTGTATTGATGGTAATAATTTTCTTCAAAAATTCATTGCTGGTAATAATTTTTTACAAAAATGTATTGATGGTATTAAAACCTATTTTTTACACGTTCATAGTGTTTTCACTCCAGTTTGGGTGCTAACTATAGGCCCATAGCTGGAACCCTAACGAGTGCTACCACAACGGGTCAGGGTGGACCTGTGAACATCAGCAATTAAGAGCTGCTTTTACGCTCCTTAAAACCTCCTGATCAGTTGTTGTATGTAGTTTATCGTCTTACCCAGGACGCTCATAGTCTGTGTGATCTAGGCGTAATCCTGTTTTATATAGAGTAAGACGTGATAGAACTAAGCCCCGGGATGAAGAATTTATCGTTGGCAAAGTAATTAAACGAACCAAAATTAACAGGAGTTAAAACGAGGCACTTCCGCTTTCTGTTTGTCTTTCCGTTCAACTTTGCATATTGACACTCTTGCAAATATTCAAAGAATAAGAAACAGCTGTTCACAAGGAAAAGAAAAAACGAAAGTTCACTTAAAAATTGATCGTTTGGCTCGCCTTGTGCCGCCTATGCAAATAACTCTTTTTCAGTTTAAAGACATATTGAAAATTGTATTTAAACTCGAACAGATGCCCACCTTGATATGCAAATGCTATCAATCTTTACCCGTCAGAGATTGGCACAAATGTAAATCAGGCTTTTTAATTAATAAGGGACTAGTAATAATTTTAATTAATAAGGGACTAATAATAATTTTAAAATTGTTTATGGTTAATTAAAAAATCACAAAATAACAATAAATCCTTAAAATTCAAAAGAAAAACAAGAAAAATGAAGAAATTCAGATACAAATTTATATCAAACTCAGTATGATCGTGTGAACATTACCATCTATCTATCTATCTATCTATCTATCTGTCTATCTATCTATCTATCTATCTATCTATCTATGTTTAATAAATATCTATCTCTCTTGTTTTTCAAAATATCCCTCTCTGCTTACTATCTATTCCAGTTTGTTCATTATCTATCTATCTATCTATCAATCTATCTTCGTTTAATAAATATATATCTATTTATCTCTCTTGCTTTTCAAAATATCCCTCTCTGCTTACTATCTATCTATCTATCTATCTATCTATCTATCTATCTATCTATCTATCTATCTATCTCAGTCTGTTCATTATCTATCTCAGTCTGTTCATTATCTATCTATCTATCTATCTATCTATCTATCTATCTATCTACATCGGTCACCTTTCATAGCTACATCGCTCGTTTGAACATTAGGTGAGGGTTTATCTTTCAAATATTAAGTTCCTTTTTAATGCATTTTTTGGATTACTTTAGGATAGTCATCCTCTTCTCATATCTTCGAACAGCTCACTCAGATTAAAGCGAGGATTGTAAAAGAATACTTCAAAGCTAAGCATTTACAGTAATTTCGAATAACATCATCCCAATTGCTTAGAACTGCGTTTACCTTTCAGTTTCTTAAATAAGAATTTCTCATCCACATTTTTAATTTAATAAGTTTACGTTTGTGTGTGTGTGTGTGTGTGTGTGTCGGTGAGAGTGTGTGTGTGTGTGTCGGTGAGAGTGTGTGTGTGTGTGTGTGTGTGTGTGGTAATACGAAAACAATCCTGAACAATTCATTTATATTCTGGTAATTTAGAATTACTTCTTTGATCAGTTGAAAATTAAGGGTTTCGTAGTTTTAGGTAAAAGTCACTATTTATGCATTAGCCCATATGAATCTACCTTAATCTTCGGTAAATTTAGAGATATCATATATAGATTCTAATATATAATTATCATACGTAGAATGGCAATTCGCGGTTTCACATATCCGCGGAATCAACAAATGTTTCGTGTCCACAACTTATTAAACTATACCTACGACGAGTATTTTGAAAATATAACAAATATATTAATTTGTATATTCTCGAAACCATCAACGAGTCATAAGACGATTATTGCATGGAGATTCCACCGGGGTATTGACCGCGGATAACGAGGTCACACTTACTGAACTTATATGCATTTTAAGTGTGTCTTCTAATTATGAACTTTTTTTTATACATACCTACATCAGGATTTTTCATTAGTATGATTTCTCGAATATTCAGGTCGGTAGATAAAATACTGTTTAAAACAAACATTTCCCAACGTGGGTCTTATGACCCATCGGTGGGTCATGGTAATATTTTGGTGGGGTATGCGTAGGATGTGCACCCTTCGGCTTACTATACCAACAGAATAAGAGGGTAATTCGAGAATGAGTTATTAACAGTGAATTATTTTCTGATGAGTCTGAATGAGAGTGTTAATGTTAATGCGTGTCAATACATACGATGCATATACAGAATGCATCCATAAAACTAAGAGGAGACTTGAGGCTTAGGCTGATTAAATTGGTGCCTAATATAAAATCTATCTGTAGCAGACATGACGCACAACGATCTTACTAACAGCCATTTTGGGATGAGCTCAGATTTCATTTTGCATTTTTAATTCATGATTAAAATGATCAAAGTATATTAGAATAAAGCTTTCATTTTATATTTCTGTCTTTCATTTCTCTATTATATGTTTTGAAACTATATATATATATATATTTAGCTGTCTTTTTGTTTTTTTAACTTTTCTCTTTCATGGACGCCATGGTCTTTGGAAGCTTGTTTAGATACAAAGTTAATGGCCTTTTAAGCTTCCTTCTCGTGAACTGCAGTAAAATTTTGAATATGTAAGAATTAAATATTACAGGAGTGGTGGCACCAGGATTTTAGAAACACCAAAGTGGGGCATGGAACAAAATCGGTTGATAACCACCGGTTTAAAATAAGCGGATCAACTACTGAAATATGGATACATAATAAAAATAACGTTTAAAATACTTTGGAAATGAAAATAAAAGGAATTTGAACAGTTATATCAAATTTCTTTCATTCTTTAATATCAATACACCGGTGGTTATTCGTGAGTATGAAGGGATTTTGTTAAAAATTAGCAGAAATAATGTCTGTAATTTATTCAAT